GAATATCCGTCTGCTCATGCCCACAGGAAATGTGCTCATAGCCTCAGTGCCGCTCTTTGCATTGAGCTTCACGGATGTTTTATTTGCCTGTCAAATCTAGGTATTTCTGTTTGGTTAATGCTGCCCTTTGGGGCTACATCCTCGGTGATTTGCTTCTGCCCGTCCCTTCATTTTATCCTGTGTCTTCAAACGCTATTTGCCATGGAAAGGAGAATGGTAGAGTGGGATGTGGGCACAGTTGCTAGCAGTTGGCTGTTTGAGCCAGACCAGCTCCCTCTGAGGACAAGTGTGACTGTGGGACATGAATAAAACCAGAGGAGATTGCCTCGCCTCCCAGATATCTGTCCTGAGAAGGTGGTTTTCATTCAGAGATTGTGCTGTCTGGAATATTCTGCTTGCAGGGACTCAGATTGTCAAGTCTGTGTTTGGAGCTGCCTGACCATTATGTCAAAGGCTCAAACAAACAAACAAACAAACAAACTGCTATGGTGTAGATCTTGACTGTCCCCCTCATGTGTTAAAATAAGGGCTTGGTGTCCCACGTGGCACTACAGGAAAGTGGTAGAAACTGGGACAAGGGTCTAGAGGGCGGTCTCTCTGTCACTGCGGCTGTGTACTTCAAGGGGATTATGGGACCGCAGCTCCTTCTTCTCTCTCTTTTTCACTTCTTGGCCATAGGCTGAATCGTATCACCCATCACACATGCTCCCTGCCAAGATGTGCTGCCTCACCACAGGCCCAAAAGCAACCGGGTCAACTGAACACAGACTGAAACCTCAAAAACTGCCCCAAGTAAAGCTAATCCCTAACCCCTAACATTAACACTAACCCTAACTGGACAGTGGACAAGCAAATCTCTCTCAATAAATCAGTGATTTCAAATATCTGATACAGTAACAGAAAGATAATAACACATCCACCAATAAAACACTATTTTTCTTATGGGAAACTACATACATGTATGCATGTATGTCTAATAAACATAGAGGAAAAGGCTTTAAGGATATTAGCCACCAGTAGTTACCAGATTATCACTAACTGGAGTTCGATGGTCAATATGGTCTTTAGCTTTACCATTATAATTGTACATGTTATTTTACATGGAGAACGTAATTCAACATTACTTGATTAACTAGACATTTTTAAGGTGGAAAGAGAACAACTGGAACTTTATAGGTAGTTACGTAAAATAACGAATCACTTGGCTGACACCCAAATGTTGCTACTTATACAGTGAGTCACTTGCTTTGGGAGCTTTAGTTTTCTCATCTCTAAAATGGGAATAATAGCCAGGTGTGGTGATGCACACCTGTAACCCAGCACTCAGGAAGCTGAGGCAGGAGGATCACAATGAGTTGGAGGTAAGCTTAAACTATATATGACTCTGTCTCAAAAAAATGGGAAAAACTTCCTCTTTGATCATTGCTGAAAGAATGAGATGAGATAAGACATTTTAAAGACCCAAGTGCCATATAAACCTCAGTTTCATGTCTTTCCTGTGGCTTCTATCAACCCCTTTTCCCTGCTCAACTCCTGTTTGCTCCTCTGCAGCTCTCTCTGAACTTGCCTTCCTCTCCTGTGCTAGCTTTTCACATGATTGCCTTTCCTGGTGTTCACGAATAGGAGGATAAAGGCAGCCCCTTCTATTGTCTTGGGGTCTTGGCAGAGTCCCAAACCTAGAGCTACTCAGTAGGCTCCAGGCACTGCTTCATCCTCTCTCTGGGTGCACCCCTGTGCACCCCTGTGCCGCTCATGTAGGAGACGATCGAGTCCCTTGGGCCCCACCTCCAATTCCTCAGGACCCCGAAATCACATCATGAGGATTTCTCGAAGGGAAGTGATCAGTAAGCCATTGAGGAGCCCAAGGAATTTGAGAGGCATTTCCCAAACCTCAAGGAAGACAGGAACTGACACAACTCTGATCCCTGAGAAGCCCCTGTATGTGAGGCAGTGACAAGTAGACACAGCAATCTTGGCCAAGCTGGCTGCCAGGAGTGGTGCTGTGAGGATGAGGTAGGACAACCAACCCTACTGAGAAGATCCCAAGGGGTGAGGTGCGATTGAGAGACCCTGGGCTACCCTGTGTGGCCAGACACAAGGCATCACATGTGTCAGAGCAAAGCCTCAGCAAGGGGAGGGTCCAAAGCCACACAGAGCCACCTGGGAAGAACCCAGATCTGTAATCCACCATTCCCCAAGGGCACTAAAACCAGATACTGCTGCCAAAAGCTGCTGAGCCCCTTTGTTCCTGGGGTCCCTCTCCCCTCTCCCTGCCTCTCTGCTCTTGGAGCAGCCTGGCTCTCCCAGCAGGCAGGGACTAGGTAAAGAGCAAAGGCAGAGACGTGGGTGATGTTCTGCTGCACCGCCAGCTCCCCAGCCTGGACTGGGTGGGAGATGTTTCTGATGGAACAGAACGTGTACTTTTTATATCACCCAGGGCCAGATGTCTTATTCCACGGGCATCAACCCTGCCGGGAAGAATGGATTAAAAGGTTACTGGCCCCGTGTTGCTGCTTTTGGAAGAGGCGGTGACGTGTGACATGTGTCTTCACCTGTGTCTGTGGGTTTGTATCCTAGGTATCAACAGACACAAACTGAGCCTCCGCCTAGCGTTAAGCCTCTTTGGGCTTCATGCTGCAGTCCAGGTTATCTGATCTGAAACTCCTTTGCCTCTTTGAAGCACTGAGAACTTGAATATTGTGAAAGCTGTGCAGAGTCCCAAGCCCTGCAGGAATCATGCCAGCTGCCATCTGCCCAGGTGTCTCCCCCAGGGCTCAGAGCCCCTGCCCTAGCCATCCTGTGCACAGCCTGCAGAGAAGTTTCTCCTCTCCCGGGACCATCTATGCTTCTTAGATGCAACTGAGTTCCAAACGTGTGGTGGAGATTTAAAGAGGACACAAGGGTTGGACTCTCCCTCCCCTAAGATCTCGCTCCCTACCTTCTCATATTTCTAGAAAATAAAACAATTCTTTCCCCAACTCTATGCCAAGCCCTGGGGTCAACCTCTCTTCTCTTCCCCTGTGACCATCACTTCCCTGGAACCTGATGTCCCAGGTCTGCTTGACCCCCCTCCCACTACCCCTGATGCTGGGCCGTAGACGCACGCAGGGAGAACATGCACCTGCCCTGCAGAGCATGGTGACCTGCGTCCAGAGGTATCAGCCCCAAGAGAGGCCTGGCAGTGGGCACATATTTTCTGAGCTACTTCTGTGTGCTGAGCATGACCTCTAATCTCAGGGAACTTCTGTTCTAAGCAGGTAAGGTAGAGACATTCATTAAATAGTTTCTCAAATGAATATAAAATGACAATAATGAACCACAACCAAGGACCCTGTCCTAGTCTCATTTCATAGCTCTGTGATGAGCGGGATCTCAGAGACTTTCAGAAAAGGCCAGGTGGCTGCTGTGTAGAATGGAGACTGAAGCAGGAGGGGCACATGGGGATGCCCAGGTCTCGGTAACTCTTGGGCCTTCATCCCAAGCGAAACAAGAAAAGGGTTGTAAGAGAGGAAAAGCCTCGTGTTTTTAAAAGCTGATGGATGGTATGGAAGATGGGCAGCAGGGAGCCAAGTGGGGAAGCTGAGACCCCTGCCAGGAAGTTGTTGCCCCCCACACAGGAAATAGAAGAAGCCTGGGGTGATACAGCTAGAGGGAAGCGGGTGAAGAGAGGTTCTGGAAGCAAAACAGATGGAGTGCAAATAAAGAGAAAAGATTTCTGGCCTGAGCACTGGCATGGATGGTAGCTCAGGGCCTTCGCAGGATTGCTGGGCTGGGGTAGGGGTTTGAAGGAGGACGCTGGGGGAAAGGGTAGTTTCAGTCAGGGATATAATGAGTGTGTGGAGCCTTTAGAACACATGCAGAAGAGATGCCGCAGAGGCAGGTGGCATGTGAATCAGAAACTCAGAAGAGAGCTACTCTCAGGCCAGAGCTACTCAGGAGTCCAGTGTGGTCACTCCAGCTGTGCAGAAGAGATGCCAGAGAGGAGGAGAACAGGCCAACGACTGCAACCAGACAAGCTCTCATGTTCAGGTTGGACAGAGAAGAAAAGGCCTACAGAGCAGACAGAGGGGGAACTAGTATAGAAGTAAAAGGAGAGAAGAGTGCTTCCAAAGAGTAACAGGAGGAGCTGCAGAGAAGTCAAGGAGTTGAGGCCTGAAAAATGGGATTTTAGCAAAGGGATTCCTCAGAGCCTCAGGTCAGCTTGGTGCCTCATCCAGGCCTCCTGTTTACCCATCACTAGAGTAAGAGGGCCGTGTCATCACAAGGCCCCTCCCAGGCTGACTATCATTCCAACAAGCACCATGGCGGAGGCATTTCCAGCTCCTGTCATTTCCCCTCTTGTGTGCTTTGGGGTCACACCCCACGGCCATAGGCCCCAGCTGTGGGTGGGAGGGATGTACTGCTCACTGACATTCTGTGCATGCCAGGCCTGCTGTGACACCCCACTTTGGTGTCAGAAAAGGCAAGGAAGTATGGCCCTTCCCCTGAAAGGCCCTATCGTCTCAAGCTGGACATTCAGAAATGATAAGCAAGTCTAGGAACGTGGAGGAAGAGGAAAGAGCATAGAAGCAGCACAGAGCTGTCAAGTGCAGAGTGAGGGGTGGCCCTGGGGAAGCTGCTCGGGGCAGTCAGAGATGGAGCCCAGTCTTGAAGAAGAGATGAGTTCCAAAGCTTGAGCGCAAGCAAGAGGACAGCTGTGGGCTTGGCCTGGTAGGTCCCACTGGGTCCCACAGGAACTTCCAAGGCACAGCCACTTCCATCTGGATCTGCAGAGCCAGGCCCAGGTCATGGCCATCCTCACAGACCCAGCGCCATGTGGGACAGAGCAGATGTCATCCTGTAGGAAGCTGGGTCCCTCCGGCCCAGACTAAGATGAATGGATACACACAGGCTCACAGCACATCATAGCCAAAGCTGTGGCAATAATGCCCACCCCGGACTTGCCACAGACCCTGCCTTTCTTCCTGCCCTGACCAAAGCAATCGAGGGTCACTTCTCACCTTGACCGGGTGCAAGCTGCTGTCTTCCTCTGCCTGCTGCCCTCGCAGCTGGCCTTCCAGTCTCCTCACAGGTCGGCGGACACTGCTGGCTTCTCCCTGAGATCCAGCTGCTGTATTTCCAGCTAGGAGAGGCTCCTCTGGGCGGCTCATCTCCAAGAACACCCCACTGCCCACAGAAGGGAGGCAACTCCATGCCCTCCCACATTTTCCACGTGCCCTGATTCCTGCATCATTTCCACAGCCTTCATCCCTTCTCTGTCATGACTTCCTTTCCCTGTCATAACCATACTCTATGCGCTGCCAGCTGAGCCCTACCCTGTGATTCCTGAGACCTGGGAGGAGCACTAGCCTGTCCCCAGAGCTTCCACATGACTCAAACCTTCACATCTGGCTCTACCTTGAAAGACTCCCCTGGAGCTGAACACACAGCTCTGGTCCCACACTGCCTCTGTGTCCATTGGCCTAGCATGCCTCCCTGTCCCCACACCTGACAGGCCCCGCCCTCCAGTTCATGCCAAACCCCACCTGTCTCAGGTGGCTCCTTCCTACCCTCCACATTCATGCTAAACCCCACCTATCGCAGGTGGCCCGGTGCAGACCGAAAGTCAGGGGCCTTGCTCAGGCACTTTTCCAAGAGTGCCCCCAGGCAAGTCGCTCAGTGCTTCTGTGAAAAAAGGAACAGTCTCTCCTTTAAGGACGAAACACTGCCAGCCAGTGTGGCTTCTGGCTCCCTGAGGGCCTCAGGAACACTTACTGTTGTTTCCAGGCCCCTCTCACTAGCTCTGATCTCGCCTCCTTTGAAGTTCCAGAACATTCCTGACCTCTCTGACAGTACCCAAGTCAGCCATCTGTTATAGGGGACAAATACCTCTAATGTAAAGGCTTGTCTTTGTATCCCTTTGGTGTAGAACAGCTATGGTTAAATGAAAATGAAGACAGACCTGTGTTAAGAAAAAACACTTCCCTGAGGCTGAGCTGTTGCCCAGACCAGCCAGGGGCCTCGCTGCCTGCCCTGGCCTTCTGACCCCAAGACCAATGCAACCTTTTATCTTGTGCCTCGTGCCAATGCATTAACTCACCCTGGCCTCCCCTTGATCCCTCCTAATCCTCCAGCACAGTAACCGTGGGAGGGAGGGGCCTGGCTGACCAGAGATGACCTTCAACACGGCCAAAGAAGCAGAGGCCTCCCAGGACTGACAGACCCGGCCCCACCAGCTTGGCCTCTCTCAATGCTAAGCAACTTGAACGGTGCCCAAGGACTGTGAGGTGCTTTTACAAGTCTTGCTGTGGTAAGAGACCTAGGATACAATCACCGACTGTTTTCTTCTTTAAAACAGAATATAGAACTGTCTGACTAGAACGATTTCATCTTTGTCAAGAAAAGCAAAATAGACTTAGTGAACACCAAATGCTATCTGTATTTTTGCATGTCCAGAGCAAAAAAAACTGTAAAGACATCTTGCTACTCCTCGTGGTCATCCCAAGATAGCAGAAGAGGAAGAGACATACAAGGAGCAAGGAGGGAATGTTTTATGACTTCGTAGATCTCTGTAGTCTTTAAATGTTTTCACAGAGATATAATTTTTTTTTTTTTGAAAGCAAGAAAAGACAAAATGTGTGAGCATGTACATAACCCAATAGCTGGCTTTAACATACTCTTCTCTTTGCAGGAATTTGCGCTTCCATAAGATCAGCTTTCCCCAGGGACTTAGTAGCAGAGGTCAGTCTTTTCCAGACCTTCGCCAGAGCGGGAAAACGGTGGAACTGAAGGCTGTGGGGGATTCTGTGAAATCGCATGAGCAATGCCACCCTGTGTCCTGTTGGCATCACCCGTCTGGTCCAAATCCTACCAAGACAAGTCCGCTGGCGTCCCCGGACACCGTGACCTCAGATGGTGCTGCCTCTATCCCTTCGAGATGGTAGCATTGGTGGTCACCAGGCAGCAGAAGGTCACCAGCTCCGAGGCCGCCTGCCTCCGCCCCACAGCCTTCAAGCTCTGCCCAAGATGTCCCTGCGTGCCCGTCCCTTCCCAGCTCACTAGGAATCCACTGCTCAGGGTATCCACACAGCCAGAGCAGAGGTGGTGGCAGGAACCTCCTCCCTCACCCCTCCTCTGGGAACAAAGACCCAGACAATGGGCTGACCACCCAGGAACAAGGACAAGCCTGCGGCCCGGGGACCAGGACACTTTCGAAAGTTCAGCGGAGGGCCAATTTATCAGCAGCCCAGCAGCCTCCTCACCTAGAGAATTCCCTAACCCCAAGACACAGAGAAAGGGCATTTCCAGGGCTCCCACCGCAGCCCCCTCCCGTCCTCTGCCTGCACCGTGCTGCCCACTGCCCCCCTACCTCCCTTACACCAAACACCCCAAGAGCCCGCGTCCCGAGCCCCTCTTCCCATGGGGAGTTCTTGGTGGAGAAGTCTTCCCTTCTTTCCCACTTGGGTCACTTTTTTTCCTTTATAAATTCCCTATGTTTTTTTCAGATCTTACTTTTTATTAGCACGCGTTTACAGTGCATGATGGTCACGCTCCTTGCTTGTACGTGTGCCTCTGCATCTCAACTCTTTTTCCATCCCATTTCCCTTGCCTCCCTCGATCTCTTGATCCTGTTCCCACCTGAAGAGGATTGATCTCCCTATTGCTTCCTGCCTGTCTTTTATTTTGCTCTTTACCTTAAAAAACGCATCCTCCATCCCTGCAAAGCCACCCTGCCACTCCCACAACTTTCTCAGGTTTCCTCCCCTAGCCAGACTTGGTAGCACCCTGTGCCCACACTGTTTCCCCACCAGGTAGCATTTACTCCCTGCTTTTGAGGGATCACACGTCTAAGTACAGACACAGAGCTCATTAAATGCTTTGCCTCTTTGTAGTTCCAACTGTTGGTATATAGTAGTACAAAGTAGCTGCTCAATAAATCTGTGTCGAAATGAATGAAGCTATGAGTTAGAATGTAGACTAAGACCCAGAATCTAAACAGCTTTCAGTGGTGCAGGGAAAAGTAAAATGAAGACTCCTTCTCCTGAAAGCCCAAACTTTCTTGTCCTCCAGGCCCCGAATCTCCATCATCTGACCCCTTCTTTGTCTTGCCTGTTGCTCTTGCAAACCATCCCAGGTCTCCACGCCCACAGGCCCTCACTGCCTGAGCTGCCCACCTGGTGCTTCGCCGGCTTACTTTGGCTTCTGTCATCTGTGGGCATGCGTGCTCTGCCGGTCCAACAATCTAGCAACCTTCAAAAAGGCAGCCAGAGAGGTTCTGCTCCTTGCCATCCTCCAAGACAGCGATGTGGGATACAGCCCAAAGCCAGCATTTTACAAAAAGGTAAAGTGACCAAGTGCCTTGATGAATGACCGAATTCCCAGGGAGGGGCCCACACTGTCACATGGCTCCGTATATACCCGCGAGGCTTGGTGACTCCCCTGCTTCTCCAGGGATGTGTGCTACGGCCCTGCTCTCCCACACCTCGGGGCGCTCCCTGTTCCCACTCCAGGTGCACTTGTTTCTTCCACATCTCTAGGGTAGGAAGAAGAGCTCAGGGGCCCAATATCATCCCAGCTTTGGTGCTGACTTTCTGGGAAGTTTTGATTTATGTGCTGCACCTTTGTGCCTGTGTATTTTCTTCTGTGTCCCTCCACTGTTATCATAAAACACCTGTTCCATCCTGACATATATTAAGTATTCTCTATGAGTCTCCTTGCTTTCCCTCATGACTGCAAAATGGCCGCCACATCTCCAAGCATCCCATTCATACACAATAGAGACAACGGTGTCCAAAGACAAATGCAGAACTTTTTTGGTCATGTATGCCTTTCTCTTTTCATCAAAGATCTTTTCTTGAGGTCTCCAGCAAATTTCTCAGTTCTCTCTGAGAACATGGATTCCCCTAATCCAGCCATGGGGGTAAGATCATCACCGTAGCTGGCCTAAGCTCAGCATGACTCATCTCCTAATGCTGGTGCCACTTTCTCTGAGCATGCTGTTAACAATATCTAGACAAAATTGTACATAGTCCAGGCTGGCCTCAAACTCCCTAAGTAACGCAGACTGGTTTTGAACTTGGTATCTTCCTGCCTCAGCTTCCTGTGCGCTGGGATCACAGACATGAGCTGCAGTACACAGCTCAAAATGTGGATTCTAATAACAAGAAAGACAGGAAGACCGGGCAAGATATTTGCATAAAATGCCATGTTATCTCAAAGATGGTTGGTTCTGCATGCATGGGTGGAATGAGAAGAAGTTGTAATTCACTGCTCTGAGGAGCCAGGAGGATTACCTGGCATTGTAGATGAGTCCACGAACCAGGGTCGAGACTTTAGGCAAATTACAGTTCACTTCCATTTACTTCATTTGGCCAGCTAGGAGACTGGAAACCCTCTTTTTCTTCTGTAAAAATCTATGATTCTATGGCTCTAGGGACTACACTGTTACCCAGCCTTCACAAGTTTTCCATCTGAAAGTCTTGAAGAAAATCCTCATGTGCAGTGCTCTGCATGTGGACAAGTGAAGTCATTGGGAGGAGAGTTGGTGGCCACTCAGGAAGCTGGTGTCTGAGCAGAGACCGAGGACCCCTCCTTGTCTGAGTAGGCAGCTGCTCCTGCTGGGGTGGGACCGCGTCCACCCGAAGCTTTCCTGGCCTCCAGCGTCCAGGCGCTCCAGACGCTCTCCTTTTCTGCCGGAAGAAAAGCACAGCTGCATGAGACTCTAGCTCTTCAGGCAATGTGGCCATTTCCCCAAATGCGGCCCTTGCTCCGCCAGTGACTTGAGCAGTGTCTGCAAGGACTTGAGGAATGGGTCGTCTCCCCCAAGACCCGGCCTCCCAGCCCTGCAGGGACAGAACAGAGATCTGCAGGGACAGCAGAGTGTCACAGTGTTTCATTTACCCGGACACTGTCATCTCATGCGATAGGGTGAAAACGTTTTTAATGAGTTGACAGTTTAAAATGGGATGATTCTATGCTGCAAAATGCAGGGCTCCAACTTTTTTTGAAAATGTGTATGCTCTAGAAGCACGAGAGCCCCCATTCCTGCTCCACCTTAATTGGCTTGCCCAGAGGAAAAGCTTCTTCCCTGAGATGGAGTGTGTACCCCCACTGCCCTCCCTCTCCCTGGCAGGGATGTTAGGGGTCTGTTTCCCAGTACTGTCTTGCCAGGCCCTGGCAGCTATTGGAGTCTGATTCTCCCTGGTACATCCTGTGAGTACTTAGCTCTTCCCGGATGGGCTGTGCATACTTTCGCAGGCCTGACTCCTTCAGGCTCAGCTTGTGGATTTACCCCGGAGGAGTCTGCTCTGGAGCTAGGATCCCTCCCATTCCTCTGTCATTTGCCCTTGCTTGTCTGCCACCATGTACTCTGATGTGAGCTGTTAATAATCCAGACCATGTCATTCGCTGCTGGGCAGCCAGGTCGCGAGAGGTGAGAGCTCCTGTTTTCTCTGCCCAGGTTCTCTGCGTGGGGAGTTTCGTGTCAAAGTCTGAAAGCTTGTATTTCAGAAGCATCGATCAACTTTCTAGAAACCTGCTTTATTAGGAGGACAGGGAGCTGGATATGGAGGGCCAGGTGACCCCATTACATGAGATTGACAAATCCGGGGGTGTAGAAAAGAGAAGAGCTAGACGATGTGGTTGTTCTCTTTAAACACTTGAAGGGCAGACATGTTCCAAGCACACACATCGTCTCTGTAGTTTTGACACAAAAACTAACAAATGGAAGCCACAAAAATGCAGATTTTGCCAAATCATTGTGTGAAGATGAAAGAGGCTGCCTTGCTAGGCAAGGAGCTCTCTTTTGCTAGGGGTGGCGCACGCAGAGATTGGCAGCCCCTGAGACAGTGCAAGGATGACTGTGTCAGATGATTCTTACATCCCTTTCCCCTGGACATGCTGTGATTCAAATAGTTTGACTTCGGGGGCCTCACACAGGGCTGAGGAGGTGGAGATGGAGCGTGGGAGGCTGTAGATCCTATAAGGAGGGAACCAAGGAATGGGGGAGTGAGCTCAGCGCGGCAGCTCTCTGCGCAGAGAAGTGAGTTAGTTTGAGGTCAGACCAAGGGGGATGAACTGTACATTTACCCCCACCCTAAAGCTCACATAGGCTAATCAATGGCAAGAGGGCTACGCAGAGGTGACGGATTGTGTGCTGATCGTCATCTTACGAGAATGCGCCGCCCTGAGCTGATAACCAAATGTGGTTTGAGTGGTGTTTTCCAAACTACAGGTTAGGACTCATTTGTGGATTTGAAATCCATTTGGTTGGTATAACTAGCATGAGAAGGAGGGAGGAGGAGAGAAGGAGGAGGAGAAATTAGAGCACATCACAGGAACAAATTATTTCATTAAAATTTTAATTCTGTGTGAGCATACATATCCTATCTGTGTGTGCACTGAATCATGTAAAATTGGTGAAAAGAAAGTGCAACAGATCTAAGGCAGAGTGAAATAACTCTGCTATGTGGCCCAAATCCTGTCTCTGGTTAATCTTCTCAGGCAGTCTTGATTAGCGCTTGGTGACAGCTTGGCATGGGACCACTCTCCACTTCCCGGCAAAGAGGCAATGGCAGAATGCACTGAGAGATCCCAGACTTGCCTCAGAAAAATGCTACTGTTTTTCTCTCATGAGAACTGTGTGTCCTTCTGCTCATACACCTTCCTTTGAACAATGACAGCCACCAGTCTTGACACTTCATGTGATCCCTACTCTTTCTCCACTGCAGGATGAAGCCAGTTTCTGTACCTATTTGTGCCTCTGGAGTCTGGATCCTTCCGTCTCAGCCCCTGCTCTCTCCCCACTAAGATCACCTGAGCACTGGATTAATGGCAACGAGTTGGCAGCATGGTCTAGAGCCTCTCTCTGCAGACATGTGAATTACTTAACTTGTTGTTGTTCAGTATGATCTGCAGACTGAAGGAACAGATAAAAATCAACAGGGTGGCCTTTGTCACTTGCTGTAAATCAGCTGCCTGTCGGTCCACATGAGGCCCACTTTCCACCTATGCGCAGGATCCTGGACTCTCTTGACCCACCCACAGTTCCCTCTCCGTTCCTCCCTCTCTCACTTTACAACATGGTGTAATTTTCCTAAGATCAAAACTCAAGATAAAGCTTCTCTTTACTAAATAACCCCTCCAGCTTCAAGCTTGCTTTTCTGTATAATTTGATGTTAAAATTCCTTGAAGAATTTTCCCCATATTGCTGGACTCACTGTCCATTTTAGCAGCTCCCACTCCACCCTCTGAACAAAACAGTTCCCAGGTTAATACCAAGGACCCTCATGGTGTTAAACCAGCACTTAGTTTCTGTCGTCACCTGGTGTAAGCTATCAGCAGCATGTGATGCAGTTGGCCAGTCTTTTATTGAAATATCTTCTTCTAATTCTTCTCTATCATATACTGGTCTTTAAACACTGACGTACCAAGGTCTTGGTTCTGGTCTGTTTTTCTTATACATCTACACTCATACCTTAGGTGGTGTTGCCTACCCACAGGACTTTATGTACCATCTATGCCCTGCCAAAGGTTAAATGATTTCTTTCCATACTTCTAGGTTCTACCCACCTGGTGAGGGAACATCTTCATTGCAATGTCTACCAGACATCTCAAGCTTCATGTATCCAAAACAAAGCTGGCAGCTCAGTTTTCAGGGCAGTCCAATAAACTCCTAATGTATAAACCCCTAAAAACAGCAACTCTAAACTCTGAACAAAATATAAACATCAAGGCCCTGAAGAGTGAACAAAAGCAGAAAGTTTCTGGAAGGGAATGATTACTTGGAGGAAGGGAATGATTACTTGGAGAAAGGGAATTCATTCAATGAGTCTCCCATTTTTAAATGGTGTTTAGCTGCACAGAGGGTCAGACAAAGCAGATAAAGCAGAAAACCTTCATTTGTTTGGCCAGAAGAGTCAAAGGATAGGGTTTGAGGCAACCATGACCTTTGGAAAATGAGGAGAGGGACTCCGTGAATAGAAAGACCACATGTTCTGGGTAGAGGCTCTGTCCGAGCTTCTGGCCAATTCCTGACCTACGCTCGCATGATTGGATCCAGCAGCCAGGAAAAGAATAAACAAGCTGAACTGGGATTTGAACTGTTGCCCAAGAGACAGTTTATAGCTTGATCCAACCAACTCAACTGCCTGCTGAAACAAAACAAAATCAGCATTTTGTAGGAACTAGCTTATAGAATTAAGGCCTGCACAACTAAACATTCTAAACATGTCCAGAATAACCAAAATTATTCAACATGTGAAAAAATGTGGCCCATTCTTCTTTTTTTTGGCATGGATGTTGCAGGCTTGCACCCCCGCCTCCTATATTTAAGCCCCCATCTTTTTTTTGGTACATTTTAGATAGATATAATGGTAACATTCATCATAGGGAATTTGTACCTATACATGACATATCTCATTCCTTTTTTTCCCATTCCTCTCCCCTCCCTTCAAACCCTCTTCCCCTCCTTATTTACAAAAAGCTTTGCCATTCTTAGGAGAAAAGTCAGTCAACACAGTCATCCTTGAGACGACCCAGCCATCAGAATTAGCAGAGCATAATTTTAAAGGAGCTAATATAACTATTCTTTGTGAGATGAGAGATTATGTTTGTAACAAATGAAAAGATAGGAAACCTCAGTTGAAAAATCAACTTTGTTTAAAAGAAAACCTGACAATTTTCTGAAACTGAAAAATAATAAAGTTAACCAGATTGGCTTAGAACAGAATGGAGATAATAGAGAAAAGAGGTAGTGAGCCTGAAGTTAGATCAGTAGAAAGTATTCAGTATAAAGAACAAAGTGAAGCGGGTGTGGTGGTGTAGGCCTGTAGTCCTAGCACTCGGGAGGCTGAGACAGGAGGATCACCTCAAATTTGAGGCCAGCCTGGGCTACAGGGTGAGTTTAAGGATGGCTTGGACCACAGAGCAAGACCCTGTCTCAAAAAACAAACAAAAGAACAAAGAGAAAAAGATTGGTGAAAGGAAAGAAAAGAGGGCTGGGGATGTATCTCA